ACTGCAGCGCACAGCGTGGATATCAGAGCTAGTGGCAGCACGGCCCCGAATATCCAGGTACTTTGCAGCACCCCAGAAGGTGGGAAGGGGAGGGTGCAAAGGTGTGAGACTTAAAGGGAGAAGGTTTGCCATAGAGGGGCAAGGAAACTGTAATCTGAACCCCCTGTGTGAGAACTCTCCCTGGCTACAGCGAGCAAGTTGCACGTGGCCGAGAGCAGAATAAAGGTGGGGTGCAGCTGACGGTGTGCTTTACCCATTGCGTGCTTCCTGGCAGCAGACGGACGGTTGCCGGGCTCCATCTGCAGCTCTTCTCCTCGGCGCCGTGAGAACCGTCCCGTCGCCCACAGGCTGGGCCGCGATCCATCTGCTGAAAGAGAGCGCCGCGTCACAGCGGTGCCTCAGCGCCCCCGGGTGTCAGCATCCCGATTCGGCCCCACGGTGTCAGGTGCTGGGCTGCGACGGTTCCGTGTGCGGCCCCGAGCTCCTCTGCACTCGGCGGTGAGAAACGGGACCTGACAGAGATCTGTCAGACCGCTCTGCCTGCTGACCGCGGGACCGACAGCCGCGGGCCGCTCCGCGCCACTCACCGCGCTTCATCCACCCGCAGCTTCTTGAAGGCCGTCCGCAGGCTCTGCTCCTCCTCGGCCTCCTCCTCGTCCTGCTGCTGCTGCTGCTGCTCCTGCCGCCTATTTGCAACAAAAGGACCCGTGAAGGGGATGTTCGCTGCCATTCCTTTTGCTTCTGTCGGACAGCAGTCAGTGAAGGTGGGCTCCCGCCCGCCCGCGTGAAACGCACAGGGAGGAACTCGTAGCAGCAAGCTGAGGAGCCATGAGTGGGAAACGGAGAGAGGTTCAGCCGCAGACGAGATTGCTGACTGATTTCTGGCTCAGTTTCCCAGACGGAATGGCCAAAAGCCCCTTCTGCCCCTGAAGTGCAGCCGACAAGCATTCCTTCGGTCCCGCGCCTCCTGGAGCACGTGCTCCACGCCTTGTCCGGTACGGAAGCGCAAGCAGCGGCTGGGCCGCCGAACAGAAGGTGAGCCCGTGTTCTGCCGGCCCTGCTTCCTGCGACTTCGGGCCACCTGCCAGGGGATGGGAAGCAAGGTGCCCGCGTTTCCAGCACAAGAGCCCAAGCGCGCTGCCCGAGGCTGCTCTTGAGGAGCCGGCCGTTCGCCTGCTCGGCTGCTGAAAGCAGGTGCCTGAAGAGGAACCGCGAGGAACGGCCGGAGCTGCACGCAGCCCGTCGTGGCGAGGCGAGGACAGCGGGCCGTCCAGCAGGCGCGCCTCCTCGTTCCGCTCCGATCGGGCACTTCGTCCCGTTCGGCGCAACGCCCTCACGCAGAGGAGCAAAGGGAAACGCGCTACTGAGCACGGGAGCGGCCGTGGGGTCGGCGTGCCGCCGGATCCGTTCGGCGGGCAGCGTCCGTGAGCGGCACGAGAGCTGAAGCGCCTGCCGGGCGCTTGCGGGACGGCGCTCGGGAAGCGGCGCTCAGAGAAAGGCGCCTTTCCGCCCGCCGCCGTTCGTCCCGAGGCTGCAAAGAACGGGACGCGAGCGCGTACCGACAGCCGCGCGCCGCGTCCACCCGCAGCTTCTTGAAGGCCGTCCGCAGGCTCCGCTCGGCGTCGGCGTCGGCGTCGGCCTCGTCCCGCTCCTCCTCGCCGCGCCGCCGCTCCTCCTCCGCCGCCGGCTCCGCGGGCGGACGCTCGGCGCGGTGCCACGCGCTGCCGGCCGCGACGCGGCGAGCGGGGACGACCGTTAGCGGCCTTTCCGTCCCCGCACGGCCGGCCCCGCACGTCCCCGAGTCCCGCGGAGCCCCGCCGGCCGCGCCGCCCGAGGCGCGGGGAGGAGCCGCCCGCAGCCAATGGCCGCCGCGCACGGCGGGAAGCGGGGCGAGCGCCGCGCTGGAGGAGCGCGCATGCGCGGCGCCGGGCCGGGGCCGCTTCCGGCTGAGGGCCCGCATCCGGGCGGCGCCGGGCCGCGGAGAGGCGAAGCGGCGAAGCGGCGAAGAGGCGGAGAGCGGTGAGCGCGGAGAGCCGGAGAGCCGTGAGCGTCCGTTGGGCTCCGTCCGCGTCGGCGTCGGCGGGCGCTGCGGGTTCGGTGCGGGCGCGCGGCGGTCCGCGAGGGGTCGGGCGGGACGGCGCTGCGCCTCGAGGCGCGGCCTGGTGCCGGCGGCGCCGCTCCGTCAGGCGAACCTCGCGGCGCGCTTTGGTGGATGTGCTGCGGTTGGAGAGCTGCTCCTGCCGCCGTTTTCTTTCCGACGCGAAGGAGGGGCTCCGGTCGGGTATCGGCGAAGGGTTCTTCGCTGCGGGGCGGCGGGCGTGGGACAGACCGCCCGGGGCGGCGGTCGCAGCACTGAGGTGTGCGAGCCGGAGAGGCGTCGGGACGAGGATCTCGGACGGAGGTCTGAGCTGGGGCGTTTGCGTGGGGCCTGGGGTCGGGCTCGATGGGAAGCGTGGGGCGGCGGGGAAGGAGGAGGGGTCGTCGTAGTGCGGAGCGCGGTCCTGATGTGGTTCGGCAACCGGGCGCGGGGAGGGATGGCGCTGCTGGAGCAGAGCGTGCCCCGGTGGGTACGTGCAGCTGTGGGGGCGATTGTGAGAGTGTTCCGTGGGCGCCAGGAGCTGCTCACGGCGGGACTTGGCCGGAGCTGTGGGGAGAAGGAGGGATCGGAGCGCCTGGAGCCTTTCCAGGCCAGGCTGGCCCGGGCCCCGGGCGACCCGATGGAGCTGTGCTGTTCCTCTTCGTTGCGGGCGGCTGCGCGAGATGAGCTCGAAAGTTGCCCTCCAACTCTGACACCTGACATCTAAGGATGTTACTGCTTGCGATTCCCTGCAGAACAATAGCAGTGCTTAAGAGCGAGCTTGTTAGGTGGGGAGAGGCTGGAAGCGCACAGCCACGCTCTCTGTCTCTCCCCCCACATCTGAGCAGGGGAATTTTTCCCAATGGAGCCGGCACAAACGAGCCAGGCAGCGCTGGAGGGAGGAAAGGAGATGCACCTCTTGTCCTGAATCCTGAACACCTTCTCGTTCTTCTCCCTAGGGCAGGATGAGGAAGACAGAACTTTAGCTAGGAAGATTTCTGGAAGCCTTGGGACGTGTTAACAACGAGCTTTGCAAACACTGCCAAACTTCAGAACAAAGCCTGGAAGGTGTTTGAACGCCAAATTGCAGTGAAAGCGGCATGGAGGAGTAGAATGGCCACAGCAGAAACTGAAAGATCGCACAGCAGTCATTTGATTTACAGAGCTTTTGTTACGGTCTTCAGAGACTGTAGTGCATATTCTTTTTTATTTACTTATTAATTTGGGACTAAGGTTAGCAAGCAAGTGTGGATGTGCTGGATGGAGCTCGAGCTGGATGAGGCAGTGGCTGGGTGATGGTGGCACTCAGAGCTGCAGTCAGCGGCTCAGTGTCCAAGCAGAGCACAGGGAGGAGTGGCGTTCCTCAGCGATGGGAGCTGGCCCTGGTGGTGGGACCGGTGCCACTGAATGTCTTTATAGGCGATGTGGACAGTGGGATTGTGCGCACCCTCATCAGGTTTGCCGGTGTTACCAAGCTGAGTGGTGTAGCTGGCACGCTAGAGGGAAGGGATGCTATCCAGAGGGATCTGGAGAGACTTAGAGGTGGGCCCATGGCATCCTCAGGAAGTTCACCGAGGCCGAGAGCAAGGTCGTGCATTTGGGTCGGGGCAATCTCAAACACAGATGCGGCTTAGGCAGAGGATGGCTTGAGAGCGGCCCCGTGGAGAAGGATTTGTTAGCGTGGCCTGAGGAGAGACTGAGCGTGAGCTGGCAAGGTGTGCTTGCTGCCCAGAAGGCCCACTGAGGCCTGGGTTGCATCAAGAGAAGTGTGGCTACCAGGTTGAGGCGATTGTGCCCCCCTTCTCTCATGAGACCCCGCTTGGAGTACTGTCTGGTTCTGGAGCCCTCAGCACAAGGAGGACGTGGAGCTGTTGGAGCAGGTCCAGAGGGAGGCCATGAAGATGATCAGAGGGCTGGAGCACCTCCCCTACAAGGACAGGGTGAGGGAGCTGGGGCAATTCAGCTTGGGTAAAAGAAGGCCCTGAGGTGACCTTATAGCACCATGCCAGTACTGAAGGGGGTCTATGGGAAAGCTGGGTTGGATCTTGCTATAAGGGCAGGTAGTGATGGGACGAGGGAAAATGGCTTAGAACTGGAAGAGTGTGTGCTTAGACCAGCTATTAGGAAGAAATTCCCTACTGTTTGGCTGGTGAGGCAATGGGACAGGTTGCCCAGGGAAGCTGTGAATGCCCCTACCTTGGAGTCCGCCATCAAGACCAGGCTGGATGGGTCTGTGAGCAGCCTGGTGTAGATGGAGGTGTCCCTTCCTGCAGCAGACGGGTTGGAATGAGATGATCTTAGAGGTCCCTTCCAAAACACACCAAACCATTGTGTGATTGTATGAAACTATATACAGTTTTAATTAGAACACTAAACTGCACAATATAAAAAACCATTTGATGAAACACCAAACAGTAAAAATATGGCACAAACGAGCCTGTTAAATTTGTGATAATGGCTATCTGTGTGATTGTCTGTGACGGTCACTTACAAATACATCATTTCTGCCATGGCAGATGTTTTCTTAGGAAATATATAAATAGTGTTCCAGGTATCCTGTGATATCTTCAACTGTGCCGTCATTTACATAGGTGTGAGCCTCCTCAGAGTAGGATGTGGGAGAACCCCAGGAGGCTGCTCCAGACAGGGATCTGTTAAGCATGGATAAGGAATAGAAAACATCTTCTTTGGAACATATAAATAGTGTTCCAGGTATCCTGTTCTGTCTTCAACAGTCGTGTCATGTACATAATTGTGGGCCGCCTCAGAGTAGAATACAGGGGGACGCGAGGAGGCTGTTCCACACAGGGATCTGTTAGGCAGATAAGGAAAGGAAATGTGAGGTTTGGCTGCTGTGTGAGTTAGAGCAAAGTGACGAGGGCAGAGCGAGGCAGTTCTCCCGTGCCAGGGCACAGTGTCTCCAGGTACAGCCATAAATCCCCACTGTGCTCAGAGCTGTTCTCTGCCGCCACGTCAGCCCACATCCCCTGCTGGGGACAGCGTGCTGCCAACATATGCCGGGTCAGCTGCTCTCTGTAGGGACTGGGCAACAGCACGGAGCAGTGTGAGGGCTGCAGCCCCACGCAGCAGTGTGCCCCAAGGATGCGGGGCTGCTGCTCTGAGGGCTCCTCCGCGGGGCTCCGGTGTCTGTCTGTCTGTCTGTCAACCCGGTATCGAGGAAGTGCCGTGCCTCTGCTGAGCACGATGGCGGCCGGGCAGGAGAGGACAGCAGCTGAGCTGGCATGGTGCCTGTGCTTGGGGATCTATTTTGAGATGTTTTCGATGCCTCCGCCGCAAGGCTGATGGATGGTGGGGCGAGCATCGTGATGCCACAGCCAAAGCTCCGTGTGGGCTTTGAAGTCTCCCTAGCGGAGCGTCCCAGCGTGGCAGCCTGCAGATTTGGGAAGATGTGGACTAAGGGGCTGGAGATGCTTCTTGCCAAAGGAGGCATGAGGAGCGGCCTCGGAGCTCAGCAGTGCCCTGCTCCAGGGGGACACAGGACTTCCCCCCAGCCGTCCCTTCTCCTGGATCTGATGATGTTGTCCCGGTGGATGATGACAGGCACCTCCTCGCCCAGGTTGAGCCGCATGAACCAGGGCTCCTTGTGCTCCAGCAATGGCATGCTGACATCGCGCTCCTCGCAGGGCAGCCCCTTCTCAGCGATGACCAAGCGCACCTGCAGAGGGGCACAGAGGCACAGCTCAGCTCCACAGCCCCACAACTGCCCTGAGCCCACTGCAAAATCCAGGCAGGCAGCCAAGTGAGGATCTCCATTCCTGGCAATAGAGGGAACGTCACAAAGGAGACCCGCAGCCATCCGAACTTTGCAGGGTCACCTCTGTCTGGCCCATGGCGCTGGGACAGCAGCTGGGGTGAGGGCTCTGGAAGGCTGAATCCCAGCCCTCAGTCCCCAGGTGTGGGTGATCAGTGATGGGGCTGGGAGTCTCAGCTGGGCTGAGCAGCAGCACAGACCCAAGGAAGAGGAAGAGGAGGCTGAAGTGATGCTGCCCCTTGCTTGCAGTGGGTGCTGCAGCTCGGCTAGAGGAAGCCCACACCGTAACTCAGGTATGTCCTTCTCTTGGGGTTGGGCTCTGGCTTTCCTGGGCACCTCTGGAGCAAGTGAAAGGCTTTGCTATGGGGAGGATTTCAGGCACTTGCTGTGCTCCGGGGAGTGCTGGCAGCAAGCAGAGTTCTATGGGGGTATTTTGTTCCCCTTTTCCCTGCTGGAGCTCCGCGTTGCTGCTTTGTCCCCATGCATTTCCCCATACAGCAGGCAGCCACCCAGGGACATCACACAGCCCTCTGTAATCCCTTGGTGGCCCAGTGCCTGGTTTCCCCCTCCTCTCTGCTTAGAGGTCTTTCCCAGCCTTAATGATTCTATGAGGCTCTAGGCTGGCACCAGCCCGGTGTACAGGTGGGAATGCTGACTCCAGCCCTGGGCAGCCCAGCATCCTCCTCTGCTGCTCTTCTCTGTGCTCGATGTGAATGTGCACTCAGGAATCTCACTTCAGGCTTCCGGGTTATTAAGAAAACGTGACCATTGTGACCCAAGTGTGTCAAGCAGGCAACAAAAAACCTCGAGGGCTCGTTGGAGAGCCGTGTCTTAAGAAGTGCTGAATGAAGGAAAATCGCCTGTTTTCCTCCAGCTGATGGCTGCTAAAAATGCACCTTAACAAATATGAGCATTTCTATGAGTACGTCCGAGTTCCGGGGGAATTAGGCATTACTTATTTAATAGCTGACAAAATATTTCTTTTCTTTTAAAGTCAAACAAGGAAAAGGCAGGTTCTATCTGTGGAGATTGTCCCTCGGAGGGCAGGAGGATGCTGGGAGCAGAG